CCCCCCGCTGCCGCCCCGTCAACCTTCAGGGCAGTCCAGAGCAGGTGGTCTGTGGGACGTGGGGGATGTGCAAGGCCCTGGCCCTGTCCCAGGACACCCTGGGCGTCCCGAGTCTAGGCTGGCAGTCCTGGTAGGACCCGGGCAGGATGGAGAGAGGCCCAAACCAATGTTTGCTGAGCACAGAAAATCCCGAAGCAGAGAGAAGCAGGATGGGAAACCTGAAGACGGGGAGCTCAGCAGAGGTCACCAGCCTCTGATCGTCCTGGTTCTGGGGTAGTGGCTCCCAGGACACCCCTCCCTGCATTCCAAAGGGCTGGAAGAATGGGTGCCATGGGGTGGAGGTGGCTCCGGCCGCCCTCTGACTAAGCAGGTGTGGTCACTGGGAGGACCCAGCTCTCCCGCGGAACCACCCTGCCCCATACTGCTGTGAGGGGTGACCAAGCACCCCAGCTTGCCCAGGATGTCCCTGGTTTTAGCACTGAAAGTCCGTGTCCCAGGACATCCCTCCGTCCGGGCAAATGGGGACAGCCGGTCCCCCGAGTGGCCACAAAAGTCCGTTGTAGCCCAGGGGGGAGGATGGCTCTGACCGCCCCGTCTGGTGTGACAGGTGGCTGAGGGCAGTTTAGGGGCCCCGGAGATGGAAGATGCCCGTCCCGGCCTTGTGACTGCCTTGTGACGCAGGCATCAGAGCCGCCCCACCTGGGAGACGTTTCTGGGGGATCCACACCCAACCTCCAGTCACCTGGAGAGGCAGGCAGACCCCACCCACCCGTCGCTAGGACTCCAGGAGGCCAGGCGCCCTCTTGCACATATTTGTGGTCTTTCTAAAGCAAACCGGCAAACCGCGGTCACTGGTTCCCTCCATCTCTACACAGACCAGTTTCCCAGGCAGGAGGGCTGGCTGCCGTCCCCGCTCCTGTAGGAGAGGTGAAGGGTTCCCAGGGACTCGGACCAGGGACGTGCTCCCCTCCCTTGTGGCTGTGGGGAACCCGAAGCCACGGCCACTTGATAGTCAGCATTGGATTACACTCCGTCCCTAGCTCTGTGTGGGTCCCCACTGTCACAGACACCTCAGCATCAAGGACCGGGGACCAAGGTCCACGTCTAACTTAACCGTTAGTGGCCGTGCCCTGAGGTCTGAACTGGAGAACTCCCGGTGTGAGAACGTGCCCCTCACTGTCCGAGTGCTGGAGGAGGCGGGGCAGAGGGTGCATCTCCTCCCTGGGCTCCCACCTCTATGGGGTATCACTTTCTGCTCCAGCGTGAGGACCGTGCTGCCAGCCTGGCGGGGCTTGTGTCCCACTGGCACCTGCAGTCCTCTCCTGGGAAAAGCCTCCAAGGGCACCACCACTGGCTTGGAGTGGGCAGTGTTCTGTGCCCGGGGCAGCTCCCTCGAGGCCCCTTCCCAGCAGAGAGGGGTGGTGGCCCTGGGTGTCAGTGAGGTGCCGCTGCTGATGCTTTTAACAGTTAAACTCTTAGGGCAACGGAAGTCTGCTCAGTGGGACGACCCTGCGTGCACCTGATGGAGCCACGGGCCTTCCCAGAACACGTTTGGGGCCAGCTTCTAGGTGGGAAGCCTCGCAGCACTGAGACCTCCCTGGGAAGAGGGTGGCCTTGCCTTAGTGGGGGGTGGTGCGTTGAGGAGAGGTTAGGGACACCTAGCCCCCCAAACAGGACAGAATTCAAGTTTACCCCAAACCTGCTGTTCCTGGAACCCTGTAAAGCGGAAATAGCCCTTCTCGGTTGTATTTTGATGGTTCAGGTCAACATAAACAAGAAATAAAGTGGAAAAATCCAACCATGGAGAAGGTGGTACTGGCTGGGTTTTGTTTGGTCCCTGTGTCCCCACCCTTTCTGAAGCCCCTGGCTGGTCTTGTCACACGTAACCCTGGGTGGTGGCCCCAGGTTATGCATACAGGAAACCAATTCTTTTCCAGGGGGAGGGTCTCAAAGCCAGAGTGGGGGCTGGGCTGGGAGGCCACGGCAAGGCCTCAGAGGAGCTGAGTCTGCACGCAGCCCTGCGCCAGGGCCACTCTCCACTCCCCCTGTGCAGATGGGAGAGGGAGAGGGGGAAGCCTGGGGGAGTGGAGACAAATCTGTGACAAGCAAAGGGGCCCATGCCCAGGGGACAGCACCAAAGAAAAACACTATGTGGAAAGATTATTTTATTTTCTAATAATGCTAATGTGGCTGGAATGGCTTAAGATGTATATATTTTTTAAATGGCATCCCTCATCGCATCAGCACCTGTGGTATTTCCTCTGTATGTATGATCCCCAAGACGCCCCTGTACATGCACCCCCCCTCTAGGATTCTCCAGTCCTGGTCCCGTGTATCTGGAATCTAATAAATAAGGAACGGCCTGTTGGAGATTTCTTCACCTTATCTTTGGGCTGCCGTTCCCTGGACGGCACAGCTCCTGGGTCTCAGGCTGATGCCAGGACAGGCCGTGAGAGGACCAGCTCAGCCTCAATTCTCTGGGCAGTCAAGTGTGTTCAGCAGCAACCTCAGGGCTGCATGTGGAGAAGTCTGATCCAGGTCTACTGCTTTGTAGACTTTCAACGTTAATGGTGAGGCCACCTGATTGCGCTTGCACCCTGGCCCCGTGTTCAAAGCCCCTCACTCAGTGCGGGCCCCTACGAGAGCCACAAGGCCACGTTCAATGCCTAGCCACTCCAAAGAAACAGTCCAGCGAACCACAAAAGAACTAAAGTGATCAAGTCTTTACCCTGAGCATTGTCAACATCACCAGTGGGATGTTCAGTTATTAATGCGCAGCCAAACTTCATCAGAAACCTCTTTCTTCACAACCTCTCTCCCTCGCAGCAGCTGCTCCTGAAAGCCCCTTGGGCATCTCCATATGCCCCCAGCTCTCCCTAACTCAGCCTCCGTGGGCAGCCGGATTCAGCCCTTTGTTATCTAGGTCAGTGGTTGCCAGCTGGTGGTCCGTGAGGTACGAAAGCTTGGCGACCACTGATCTAGGTCAGCTCAGCCTCTTCTCTTCTTTCCATCTTTCCACTCAAGCTAGTTTCAGAAGCTGATCCAGTAAACAAATCTTTCCCTAGTGAAGGGTGTGGGGTGGGGGTAGTGGAGCAAACCTCACCACCTCAGATATTTCATTTTGCCTCTTGCAAATTCACGTTGCCCCCAAAGAACAGCCACCACCTGGATTCCCAGACAGCTGTCCCTTACCTGGCCCGACACTTTGTTGTGCAAAGGACTGTATATAGTTTCACAGACCCAGGACGCACCCTCCCAGGCACCCACTTCTAGCCTCAAAGGCGGGCAGTTGAGTCTTATTTCAGAAAACACCCAGAAAAGCAGATCTTTTCTTCCCAGGAGTGCTCTCGCGCCTCATTCCTCGTTTTCCTGACTGACACCAGTTCCTCTAGACTCTCACTCATCACCTGGCACAAGGCTAGATTTGGGGGCCTGGTGGCGGAGAAGAGAAGACAGCAGTTTACGAGGGCATCTGAAACAGGAGACTCAGCAGCATAGGGGAGTGTGGAAAGGGAACCAGTCTGGCCTTGGGGTGGGAAGGTTGTACTAGGAAACCATCCTGGGGAAGCAGGCAGAGGCTGTGGCCTGGAGGAGGGGAGAGGCCAGGTGAGACTGGGGCCGGCATCTCAGGCAGAGAGAGCTGCTGAGGAATAGAGAGGGAGAGAGAGCGAGGCTGGTGTGCTCTGGGCTTGCTCGAGAAGCTGGAAGAAGACCCTCTGCCTGGCTGGTTGGTGGCGGAGGGGAGGACGAGGAGTCTGGAAAGCAGAGAGGCCAGATGGCACAGGGCTTGGTCAGCCTTGGTGAGGTCATGGTTGCCTATCCTAGGACAAGTGGGAAACCTGGCAGAGCTTTAAGCAAGGGAGGGACAGGGTCAGATCTGCCTCTCCCACTTAGACACAGCAGGTCAAGCTTACAGTCCTCTGTGGATGGGTTACCAAGGTGAGGCATGAGCTTTGGATCCAGCCTGGCCGAGGCTCAGAAACCCCTGCTCTGGCCTCACCAGTGGTGGGGTCAAGGGCCAGACGCCTTCCTCCCCATCTGCACAATGAAGCTGACCACACCCAGGATCTCTCCATGGGCTGCTAGCTACATCCTAGACCTTTTACCCATATTATCCCATTCATTCCTCACAATGTATGTTTGATGCAAATGCTACTGCCTTCATTTTATGGAAGACTAAAGCTCAGAAAGGTTAATCAACTTGCTTAAGGTCACAGAGCCCAGATTTGAGTCCACATCTGTAGGAATTCAATTAAAGTCTCTTATCTGCCATGCCACAGTTCCGACTAGCCAGCTGCAGGGCCAGACACATAGCAGGCACTTAACAATGCCCATTCCTTTCCCCACCCTACTCCCACTGCAAAGAACCACATGGCCTCCCAGGCTCCACCCCAGCCACAGACATCTGCCCTCACCCCTCCCGGGGCAGCTTGTTGTCATCCAGGGCAGCTCACAACATTTCCAGCTGCACAGGAGGAGCAGGGAACACGGACAGTGTGTGAGAGTGCAGTTGACACACTATCCCAATGGGGCCTCTGGAGGGGATACCACTAGGCCAGCTTTGTTTTTTTAAATATACTAGAGGCCGGTGCATAAATTTGTGCATGGGTGGGGTCTGGCTGGCTCAATTGGGCAGGCCAGCTCGGGGGAGAGGCCACGGGTGGTTGGTTAGCCATTCCCTGCCCCCACCCCTCACCCCCCAATCCAACTCCCAGTCAAACTCCTGGTCAAGGGAACAATTTGCATATTAGCCTTTTATTATATAGGATTATATAAGATTTTTATTGACTTCAGAGAGGAAGGGAGAGGGAAACAGAAACATCAATAATGAGAGAGAATCATTGATTGGCTTCCTGCCCACTCCCTACTGGGGATGGAGCCTGCAACCCGGGCA